GTATATGAGAGGGTTGTCAACCATAATGTCAAAGCTACTGTACTTGTAGCATAATTCACCCACAATTGGTAGTAAAAATACTTTGAGCAACACACGTGGATTGTAATCTTTTATTATTCTAATTAATAGAACACTCGGTCTCATTTTTTACCACCATTAAAAATAGATTTTTGAAAAAAGATAAGTTTTAAAAAGTAATTTTTTTAAGAATATATGATTAAAAAGTATAAAAAAGTTTTTAGTTTATATGTAAATATTTTATTGTAATAATGTGATTGAAATGAGTTTGAGAAAATAAAATTATATTTTAATGATTGTTAAACAGGGCTTAATTAATTATACAAAAAAAAGTACAATTCGATTAAAGAAAACAGAAGCCTATGCTCTGAGTATGTACCTAAACAAAACTGGTAGCTATCCATAGCTTGACTCGGCCCAACACGGGTCGAATTCATTCTTATTTGGCTGCTGCTATTTTGTTACAATATTTATTTAACTGCAATTCCGGTCTGCGACTGCGAGCATGTTTGACCGAGCTTAAAAAGATTATTTTATGAATAAATTTGCTTAAAAGTAAATAAATAATTTTATTCTATTTATTCTAGTTTTTTATAACTCAAAAACAAATAAGTTATATATTTTAATCGTAACTTATAATTTAATTGAAACGTTGTCAATGAAAGCATTGGAATCTTCATTCATTTAATTTTTTTCATGTTCATCTCCCCTAACTATTAATTTTAGTGCGAGTCGGTTCAAATTAATGGAAATCATCCACTTATTTGATTAGCAGGTGACCCATTTTTGTAAGGGCATTTTGGTCTATTTACGTTTATTACCATCAAACTTCTTAGGATAATCATACCCATATTGTTTGAAAAATAGACGTTCATAAATTATATTCAAATAAAATATATTTTATGTTCATAAAATTGGATGGAATTTTAACTTACCAAAATCAAATACGTAAAGTAGAAACGAGAAATGTCTGCATACGAATTTGGTCGAAGTAAGAGTTTGACTCCTTCTCTTTAAGACGATACTGCCACACATGTGTGCTAACGATTTTCTAGTATTTGTCTCTCAAAATACAATGATCACATCCCGCAATAGGAGCACTCCAAATTACGTGTACCAACGAACCTATTTTTATTTTGAACCCTCTCGATATAAAACTTAACTCCAAATAAATTGAGAATTTTGAAGTGAATATACATTAGTATGATAATACAATCATGAAGTGAATGAATTAATGAAAAAAAACACATGTAGTTTATATATAAATATTGAAAAGATTTGTATCAGAAGACACAATCTATGAAAGAGAATGACTATTTGAATTAGTCCTTATATTTAAAGAAACGCATCTATTGAAAAATAATAATACCAAAAGCCACAATCTTTCATATAGAAGGACACATCTTTTTCAGCAAAATAATTTTCTAGAATATTCTATAATATTTTACGTCATTTTTCAACAATTCACGTATTTAAATGATTTAAAGTTGCATTAACTTTCCATTAATCAAATAACAATTTTCACTTAAATAATTAAGAATTAATCAAAATAAATTTCATATGCAAATTTTCAATAATCCCCCACATTACTAAAATTCAATATAAATGACTATGCAAATTCCAAAGAGAGTTCAAGCAAAAAGCTATTTGCATTTCCATAATCCCCCACTTGAACAACTCTTAGATTTTATAAGTGCTTTAGAAAATTCAAGGCTTGAAACATTCTCATAAAAATGGCCTATCTTTACACTTATATAGGGGATCTCCTATTAAGAGTATCCGCATTACCCTACTTGGTTTGTCCAAGATATATGAATCATTAAAAGTGTAACTTAACCTAAAACTCTCTGCAAATAACATTTTTCTTATCATATGAATGACCGGGAGTTAATTCCAATTACTTATTGAATTTTCATACTTTAGTTGTCCCATTAAATCAAGAGCTTGGGATCTCCAATCAACAATGTTGGATTACCATTTCAAAGATTCTTATATAATATGCTCTAAGCACGTTCCCATCAATATGCAGTATACTTGATCTCTTGGTAAATGCTTTCTCTTAGTGGAACCACGAGTTTATACCATTTGAGATCAACTTCTTTACAGTATTATGTTTATGACATATATGTCTAGACTTACCATTACAAGTGACTTCGTATCTCATTAAATACAACGAGCCAATGATTTATTTAATGGATACAAATTGTCACCGACTAAAAAATTCTCTCATGAAGCTATATGCTTCTAACTAGCACTATCTAAAGCTTTATCTTCTTTCAAACAACAAGGTAAGCGGATTTTTATAAAATCACTACACTAGTCAATCACTTTTGCTTGTGGATTTCAAATCATGAGTATTCAACTTTCATATTAAACCATTACAATGCACTTCAATTTTATGAATATTATTCAAATATTTCAATTGTTGTTGCATATCCAAAACAAATGTCATAATCGACTTCCATCCATCCCATTTTATCTACTTTTGACTTAGTGTGCATCTAATTTTTTTTAATATGATTTAAATTAAATAAAAATTGAAATGGATCTAAATGCTTCAAATGGTAAAATGCCAAACCCTGTTTTTTTTTTTTTTATTATGGGGGAACCCATAGCCTCACCCGAAGCCAGCTAGGTAAATAGTACTAGATAAGCCCGGTGTGACAAGTTCGACCAAAAAAGTGTTGATAGGGAGAATTGAACTCGTAACCAAAGATCTCCGCACTCATCTACTCCACCAACTCGACTACCCTATTCCAGACCCTGTTTGTTGAAATATTAAAGCATGGGCAATGCATTCCCCTTTCCCCCAACCAACGACGATGCTTAGGATGACTGCACGTGCAATGTGAAAATTCAGTAGGCGATGGAAACAAGGCAACATGTTGAAATTTGGTGGATGTCCGTAGGAGTAGACATCGAAAGTGTTAGTCTAGCTATTTCAATATCCAAAATCACCATTTATACTTTGGATATTTCGTAAACACGAAAATTGTTACACAGTTATCTTTAGTCGACTATTCGAGTGTCAAAGTCGGGCACATGTTGGTGGTTATCTGGAAGTTCCAACGTTTATAAAGTTTAAATAGTTAGCACAAAATGGCTTGAGAATCAGTTTTTCAATCGAATTTGGTTGACATGTTTAGCATTACATTTTGTAATTAAGGGTGTCAATTGCATATTAATTTCATATAAAATATAGTACGAGGCAACAAATCAAAGTTGTGTTGTCCCTTCACATCTTATTTTTCCTCGTATTGTTGAGTAATAACAATATTGGAAAATGTTCTTGTATAGGCCTGGGCATGGTCTAGTTCAATTAGATTTTACGTAGAATCGAACCGGACTCAAAATTTTCAGGTATTTAGTAGGTTGAACCGTCGGGTTCAAATTTAATTATAGAATCGCTTAGATTCAGTTCCGTTCGATTCAATTCTTTCAGTTTAGTTCAATTCCATTTGATTCCTAGATTCTGTACTATAATTAATTTTTTTTAATATTTACAAATCTACATTAATTCAACTAATGACATGTTCAATTTTAGTTCTTAAAAAATAACGTAGTCTAATTTTATATGTTTTTTGCGTTTCTCTTTTGCTGAGTATTTTTTTTTTTTTTTTGCATAAATTTGATTGTTAAAATAATAGGAAGAGGAATATAGTGAACTTACAATAATTAAAAGAGACGCTGTCGAGTTTCAATTTGATTTCTTCAGAATGGTAAAAATGAAACTACGTTAGAATAACATATTTTTGTAAAATTTATGTCAATTTGATTAAGTTGTGCTTGAACTAAAAATTAGAAAAAGGAAAATCATATTTATGGGGTTTGAGCTGAATTAACTAGTTACAAATTTATTTAGAAAAAATAAAATAATTTGGTTTATTTAAAATAAATAAATTTAAAAAATTAGGGAGATTCGGTTCTTAATCTAGAGCCAAGAACCGAATTGGATCTGTCGATTCTTGATTCAGATATCCATTTAGGTATTTAACTTATTAAGAACTGCTCGGTTCGGGTCCGGTTCAATTCGAAAGTTTTGCCCAACCCTATTCTTGTATGTAATGTATTTTGTTATTCTTCGCTTCCGTTTCTTCTTTTTTTCTTTTGTTTTTATTGTGCATTAGTGCGTGTTTTGTAAAGTTTTTGTTTAGTAAAAAGTTAATCAAACTACATTTTTAACCACATAATATCTTAAATCCACAATTTTTATTAACTTTTCACCATATATTTTATGAAATTCATCAACTTTAATCAACTATTAGAAAAATCAAACAGTCCCCTAGAAAAATTTCTTATTTTATCTAATTCTTATTGGGCAAAAATTAGGCTGTATTTTGCTTCAAAAATTGACCGAGTGACCTATAGTCCATATTTGGTATAAATTCTTTAAAACTTATTTTTTCTCAAATTTATTTTTAATCATATTGGTTCAATATAATATTTTTGTACGTAAATTCATAATTTTATTTTTATTTTTTTCTTTTTAAAAAACTTTGTCTTAAAATTCATTTTTATAAAATTTATTCTAAAAAATAAGTCCTTGTTTAAGCTCCATCCTTTTATAAATTAATTTTTTCAAAACTTATACACACACACACACACATATATATATATATATATATATAGACACACACACACACAAAAATTAAAATTATTTTTTTTAATTTTTGACCATATATTTATCATCAATTTACCATTTAAAATACATTATTTTCCTCAAAATGGGGTCGAAGGCTTATAATACGAAAACCATGTTGCAAATTTCCCCACTAAAAAGTTAAAACATGGGATTTATGATGGCTGCTGCAATTACATGGTGTATTCTAAGACCGTGTATGGATTTTGACTCTTGACTTCTGACTCAGTCCTATTTCTTAGTCTCCCAGTCTTCACTCGCTCCTCAGTCCTCTTTCTTTCTAATCCACTTAAATAATCTGAACCAAACTTGCTTCTATCTATATTCTATTATTAGTAATATTCTTTTTTTTTTCAGCAACTTGAGCAACTACCTTACTTTCTCATCACCTGTCAAGCAACTTCCCCCCTCCACCCCACTCCTTAATCCTATATATTCATATGAATATGCATAAACCTTCCTCACTTCCACTCTCATATTCTTTCAAATCTTTCTTAGTAATTTCAGGTTTTCAGTTGAAGCAAGTTCTTGATATGGCCCTTGAAGCTTTGAATTCGCCCACTACACGGATTCCCGTGTTTTCACTTGAGAACACCAGTCTTGGATCTGTTGAGCCATGTATAAAGGGTAAGCGATCAAAGCGACAACGAAGTGTTGATAGCCATGAACTTAGTGAAGAAGAATATTTAGCTCTATGTCTTATTATGTTGGCTCGCAGCGGTGGCTCCACGGTGGAGAATCAACAGAAACGCTCACAGACTCCTCTTCCGCTGCCCCCGGCACCGCCAGTGATGATGACGTTGGATTCTTCCAAGGTGTTGTACAAATGTTCAGTTTGCAACAAGGCCTTTGGCTCTTACCAAGCTCTGGGCGGACACAAGGCGAGCCACCGGAAGTCCGCCGGACGTAGCGGAGGAGATGACCAATCAACAAATTCCACCACTCTCTCAGCCACCACGAGTGGTGGCAGTGGCAGCGGGAGGACCTACGAGTGTACTATTTGCCACAGGTGTTTTCCCACTGGCCAGGCCTTAGGGGGTCATAAAAGACGCCACTACGAAGGTGGCGCAGCCAGTAACAGTGGCGCTTTTGCCAGCAGTGCAGTGAGTTCATTGGAGGGTATTGGCTCCACTGTCAGTCACCGGAACTTTGACTTGAACCTTCCAGCCTCGCCGGAATTTTGGCCGGGATTCAGCTCCGGTGAAGACGAAGTTGAAAGCCCACATCCGTTGAAAAAGTCGCGTCACTTCTTACAGTCGAAACTGGAAATCTTTTGAATAGGAATCAATTAGACATGGAATTCTGAATTTAGGAAATTAATTTTGGAAATTTTACTATACTGTTTTATTTTTTATTTATTTATTTATTTTTTCTCGCCAATGATTGTTTCATTAATTTATTCTTTAATGAAATTAGAACTTTGTAGAAATATTATATTGTGTTTATAAATACATACTAGAAATTATAATTAAATTTCTACACAATTATCGATGGCAAGATTTTATGAGGTTTAGTTGGCTTTATCTTCTTATTGCTCATAGGTTGGATGATGGGTTGTCAGTTTCAACAACGTTACATTGTCACAAGACTGAAATTTTTTATTCAATTGAGTGTTGGGTAATTAGGGAATACATTTTTATTCCGTCAATTCTTGTTTCTATAAAGATTGCCTCCAATGACCAGGAATATCTAACATTTCAAATAGGTTGAACGATCTACGTATATCCCTATTTTCTTTTCAATCTGCACCGACAAAATCATTATCGCGAGTTTACTTTGGAACTACTAGGATAAAACTTTAAAAATTCAAACTTGAGAACCCATATCGTTCATATCCAGCCATGACTCTCACCTTGATTTAGGGAAGTTACCAATGAGACGATAGCATTTCTTTTGTTTAACAATCCCTTTCTTAAACAAATATTGATCATGCACTACGAACTTTGATCATTCTTTGCTGCATTGGCCTTTTCACTCCCAATAATTGCAATGACAAAATATTTCCACTATGTTAGCAAAATAAGTTTATTCTTTAAGGATTCGTTTGATTGCAAAAATGGAATTGAATTGAATTGAAAACGAATTCCAGAGTTGCATAGAAATTGTTTTCCTGTGAATTGTAAATTATTGTCTTTGATTGGTATAATTTTCCACGTTAAAAATGTTGAAATAAAAGTGTTTTTTGGGGTTCGTTTGACTTTATTTTACATGAAAATTGTCAATTAAAGGAATATATTTTACTTGTATGATGAAATTTGTTTCCATTGAATTTTTTTTTAAAGAAAATTATCTATCTTTTTAAAAATTTGTTTTCATTGTCAACAAAAAATTAAAAAAAAAATGTGTACAGTACTTAGAAAACCAATTCTTGGTTTTCAAGAAATACCAAGAAAAGTCCGGTTTTGGAGACAAACAAGAAAAAGAATTCCATGGAAAAAAAACTTATCAAACATGGCAAAAAGTGAAAGTTGAAAAACGAATTCCATTTTCCATGGAATTTGGGTGACCATCAAATAGGCCCTAAGTAATTTCTTTTTTCTAAATAATTAACTATATTATCTTTTTCAAGTAAGTAGATTTTAAGAAAATAAAGTGAGTAGATTTTTAATAATAAGGTATATATAGTGTTCACTACAATCTCCTTTATTATTTCTAAATAAAATTAATTAATAGTTGAAGTCTGAGTTAGTTGTTAGGCCAATTGCATAGCACTGTAGGGATCAAATGTGCGCATATTCGGAGATTGCTTCTATGTCGAGAAAATATGGGCGGTGGAGGCAACTTGGGCCGGCCACGGTTTCAAACTGTACCAAGGCTGTTTATGCGGTCTCAACTAACGCCAGCATATGAACCCTACGATACGTATGGAATTTGACTTTCAGCTTAATTATTGACCACATGAGGAGTGCTTTATACGTCATTCTAACAAGCAAGTGGACTAATTAATAAGTCTGCCGAATTTGAATGAAGAGTATATAAATATGAAAAGATATATTTTTATATATGTTGTAAAATAATAGAGATTGATGATTGACTACTTTATCTTGTCAAAATATTTAGATGATAGTTCTACTTACTCTAAAAATTTTATATCTTAATCAATTTGTAACTCTCATTGGAACCTTATATATGGGCCCATCTTTGGAACCCGATCGCTAGGGAATTCTAACCCTCTCGATCCTATTTTGATGGAGCCTAAAAAAACACGAGGTTGTAATGGTGCTTTAATAAATAATAATAATAAAAAATCAATCTGTAACTCTCATTGGAACCCTATATATGGGCCCATCTTTGGAACCCCATCGCTAGGGAATTCTAACCATCTCGATCCTATTTTGATGGAGCCTAAAAAAACACGAGGTTGTAATGGTGCTTTAATAAATAATAATAATAAAAAATGTACATTTTAGCTTTGACTCTCTGAATTATATTTTCTTATTTTATTATTCTCTCATTCTATAACTTTTTATCACCAAGATCGCTCGAATTTCTCTCTACATTATGTCTAGTGTTAACATTTGAATCTGGTTAGGATCCTACGTCAATGGATACCACCTCCCTTCTTTTCCAAGAATGTGTTACATGCGCACTTGGAATGCATTTGTTACACGTACATGACTAGAAAGTATGTTGAGTGTAACAATGATGCTATGGCAAAAAAAAAAAATGCGGGAGTCAGGTTTGTATTGTTGATAGAAGGTTGCAATTACATTTACCAAGTGTCCTAATGCAAGTATTTATAGAAAGAGGGAAGGCTTATTGGATTCTTGACACATAATCTCATTTCAATGGTTCACTAGTCATGAGCAAATCCAAGAATTTTGAGCGCAAGGGCTTGCGCCCAAAATTCAAAGTCAATATAATAAATTCATATTTATTATTAAAGTAAAATTCATCTAATTTGAATTTGTTCCCTGTTTTGAAACATAAAATTTATCTATAAACAAATCTATATCTTCTCAACAAGTTTTCGTTCGATGAAGAATGTCATACAATCAGCAAGAAAGTTATCCTCTATTCTCTTACGAAGTTCTGTCTTTACATGTTTCATTTGCTGAAAATGCTCATTCAATAGTTACAATAGAAATAGGTAAAGTTAATACAACATGAATTAGTCTATTAACCATAATATAGGTCTCCGACCTTCTACTCTCAATCAATTGTCAACATAACTCAACAAATATAGATACTTGAAATTGAGGTACACTCTTTATATCTAGCTCATAATGTCGCAACTTATATTTCAAAGTATGAATATCTTGCTTTGAAAATCTCCAAGATAGAATTTCTGTGCAAGCGTACAAATATCACAACAAGGCAACAACTTACAACAATAATTAACTAATTTGCCAACTAGGCAACAACATTCCATCTCAATATTTTGTTGACAAGGCAACAGGTAATGAGATTAGGAACTCACTAGGCAAGGGACGTATATTCAATTTTTTTTTCCTTCAAGCTGTATGTCTGCAGCTTCCAAATCTACTGGTGACATGCTAACAGCACACCTAAGCGTGCTATAAAAGATGAAATACAAATTTAGGAAACAGATCAATGCAAATATGTATAATTTATTTACTTTCCCAAATGTATAAGCTATAAATGAGAAGTTGCGCTAGTGGTGTCAACGAGTAGAGCTGAAACTCAGGCTTAATTTCGACTCGAGTAAAATGGTCCGAGTTTTTTTGTGAGCCTGAGTTAAGTCGAGTTTCTGCTTGACCAAGAAATCAAGGCTCGGCCAGATTATTGAGCTAGGTAGGCTCGGTTTATTTTATTTTATTTTTAATATATAGGCAGCATGTTGATGCCTTTTATTATTATTATTATTATTATTATTTTTAATATAAGGCCCGACGAGTCCGATTGTCATCTCTAAGTTGCATCCAATGTATAATGTATTACTTTCTAAAATTCACCCAAATCCAATCACACTTTTTCAATTTTTTATAGTTTTAAACTTCTTGACCAAGTAGGCATTGGCCATTGTGAAAGAGAAATTAATCTAATTGTGAAACTTTTACGAAGAAATTTCAAAATTTTAGAATAAAAAATCTAAAATCTTGAACAATGGAAACATTTAAATCAAGAACAAATAACAATTAACATGCATACACATATAGGTTTGCAGTTGCAATTCAGTATAATTTAGTGAAAATTTCAGATTTAATTGAATAGAGGACGACCGGAGGGAGGATAGAGGTCCAATTTGAAAAACTGAACTAGATTTTTTTAGATATTAAAAATAAAATAGAACTTATAATTTCTAACATGCGTTCACATTGGAACAATGGAGAAGAGATGAAGAGAAGACAATTAGAAATGGGTTTTTGATTTATGGGTTGGACCTGGAGATTGAGGAAAATTGGATTTTGAAAATTTGATTTGCGGACAGCGGGTAAAACAGATGAAGGTAACGAGATGGATTAGGCTTTGGCATTGGGACTGGAGATTTGGGCCAAGATATTCATTTTTTTTTTCTTTTGGATCATAAGTAATTGGATGGCTCTTTTATTTTCGACATGGCCTACTCTTTGAATGGACAGAGTCTCTATGTCCCCGGGAAAAAAAAAAAAAAAAAGAATATACGAGAGAGAGAGAGAGAGAGAGAGAGAGAGAGAGAGAGAGAAATTAAGAGCATGTTTGGCAGTGATTTTGAAAATTGATTTTTTGATCATTAGGAAAAAATTGGGGTCCACTTGTGAGAGAAGAAGTCAAATATAACGGCTGGAATAGTGAAATAATGGTCAAAAAATTAATTTTTTGGGGCAAAAAATCACTCCCAAACAGGCTGTAAGTGAATTTGGGTTAGGGTGAGGATGGGTTGTAGTTCGGCGTAGCTAATGCCAAGATTTGCCTATATCACTAGTCAAGCTATATGATCATGTCACTTTGAACTAGGGCCTACCTTGGTACCACACGGAAATAATCTTGAAAAAACAATTGTATCATTGAAATCGAACTCATTAAAAACCAAGTTATATCAAGTGATTCAGGTCTTCCTTAAGCCCTTGCTCTTGCAATTTTTGCAAAGCATTTCTCGTAGAAGGGAAGAGGCACCCCATTTCTTTGATAGCCATTGTTGTACCTCTAGTAATTTCTCTAAAAAACAAGCTTTACAAAGAGCAAACGAAGAGGCATTAGACATCGATAAGGCTACTATGGAAGAGGAAAAAGCTCGTAGGCATCAGGAGAAAGCTACTGATGATGCTGATGTGAAGGCCTAAAATGAGTTACAGGAGACATAAGAGGCTAAGAATCTCCTTGTAAGGAAAACTGTTTCGCGCGGGTTCGTCGCTAACAATTAAAAAGGGATCAGACGATTGTGCAAGGGACAAACTTCTTGAGACAAAGTCC